GAGCGCAATTTTTCTATGTGAGGATACCTTGTTTCAGCCTCGCCTAGAGCTCTACTAACATAATAAATAGGAAATTACATACCTTCCTCTTCCCGGACTAGGACTCTACTTACCGCTACCTAGGATACTGCCAAGTACAGGTACAGCTGCTCATCCGCCTTCAGAGTATGGTGCAAGGGTGGACACGAAAGGTGCTTCTCGGATCTGACCCCGAACGCGCATTTCTCCGGGTTCAGCTTCATGTTGTATTTCTTCAATATGTCAAAGGTTTCCTGCAAATGTTTCAAATGGTCCTCTGCTCGCAGGGACTTAACTAACATGTCGTTAGTCTAAACTTCCATTGATTTTCCAATTTGTTCTTCGAACATCCGGTTTACTAGGCATTGATAAGTGGCACCGATATGTTTTAGTCCGAACGGCATTACGTTATAGCAATAGGTGCCAAATTTAGTAATAAAGGAAGTTTTTTCTTGATCATGCGGGTCCATCCGGATTTGGTTGTACCCGGAATAGGCGTCGAGAAAGATAAGTATATCGTGCTCGGCCGTCGCATCAATCATGCGATCGATGTTAGGCAAAGGAAAAGAGTCTTTGGGGCATGCCTTGTTCAAGTCTTTGTAATCTATGCATATTCTTAATTTATTCAATTTTTTAGGCACTACTACTACGTTAGCCAATCAATCCGGGTACTTAACTTCCCGAATGGAACCTATTTTAAGGCGTTTGGATACCCCGTCTTTGATAAATGCGTGCTTGACTTCGGACTGAGGCCTCTTCTTCTGTTTAACCGTGTGGAACTTCGGATCCAAGCTCAGCTTATGAGTAGTTATTTCTGGCGGGATCCCTGTCATACCAAGATGGGACAAAGTGAAACAATCTATATTAGCTATAGGGAATTTAATGAGTTTTTTCCTAAGCTCGGGAGTTAACCCCTTGCCCAGGTAAACCTTTCGATCGGGCAAGTGTTTGATCAATATGACTTGCTCCATCTCTATGACCGTTGATTTGGTGGCATCGTAATCATCTAGGGTGATGAACGACCTAGGAACTCCGTAATCATCATCCTCGCCTGCTTCTTGCTTCTCCGGTTCGGTTGGGGCCGATGTCGGTGATTGCTATTTAGTTTCTTCCTTCCTACCCGACTTCGTGTTCTTTGATGTCGAGAGTGCAGACATCGGGATCACCTTATCGACCGCGAACATTTCTTTTATGGCCGGCTGCTCTCCGTAAACCGTCTTAATCCCTCCCGGTCTGGGGAACTTCAGTGCCTGGTGTAGTGTCGAGGGTACTACCCTCATGTTGTGAATTCATGGCCTTCCTAATAGAGCATTATATCTTATATCCCCTTCAATGACATAGAACTTCGTTTCCTGAATGGTCCCCACGGTGTTCACAGGTAGGGTTATCTCCCCTTTAGTAGTTTTGCATGTCATGTTGAATCAATTTAAAACCCGGATTGCATGCACTATTTGGTCTTGTAGACCCAACTGCTCTGCGACCCTCGATCTGATGATATTGGTCGAGCTACTTAGATCAATTAATACACGCTTAACTCTAGATTTATTTATGAGTACAGATATTACCAGTGCATAATTATGCGGTTGCACGATGCCTTCAGCGTCCTCATCATTGAAAAAAATGGTCCCCTCCGGTATATAATCTCGGGTTCATTTTTCCCTTGTGATGGACACCTTAGTGCGCTTTAGCATTGGCCTAAGGGGACGTCGACTCCACCAATGATCATGTTGATGATGTGCTGAGGTTTCTCCTGTTCGGTTTGTTTATTGGTGTCCCTATTCCTGAAGTGATTTTTGGCTCGATCACTCAGAAATTCCCGTAGATGCCCGCTATTGAATAATCGGGGCATTTTTTCTCTTATTTGTCAGCAGTCCTCAGTCCTGTGGCCATGAGTGCCATGATACTTATACACCAGGTTAGGGTCTCTCTGGATAGGGTCGGACTGCAATGGCCGAGGCCACTTGGTATATTTGATGCGCCTGATGGCAGATACGATGTTGGTGGCATCCACATTGAAGTTATATTCCGATAATCTCGGTGCCTCTCTAGCCCCGAGTGTCCTGACAAAATCGTTTTTGCTCATTAGTCCCCGGCTTCTGTGGCCTCGATCGTTACTTCTTTCATTTCTCGCAGGGTTACGTCCAGATCCGCTACCCCTTCGATCTACACTATACGGTTAATACCGGTCTCTGTTCGGTCTTGGTTCATGATCGACGACTCTCTTAGACATGTCGCTAGTTCTGATGGGCTAAATGAAGCCGGAGGGGGCCCCGAGATAATCATCCTCAATTTTGATTTTCGATTAGTACCTGTTATGGACGTCAGCCCAAGTTACCGCCGGGTATTCTATCAAATTCTATTTCAGCTGTTGTGAAGCCAAGGAGCTTTGGGGTTGAGTCCTTGAGTGAATGCCTGAACGGCCCAATCGTCCGCAACTAGGGGCAGGTCCATTCGTTCTATTTGAAACCTCGACATGAATTCCCTATGCATTTCGTTATCTCTTTGTTTTACTTTTAAAAGGTCCGATTTTCTGGTCTCGACCTTTATGGCCCCGGCGTGCGCTTTTACAAAGGCATATGCAAGTATAGCAAATGAATCAATAGAATTAGGAGGTAAGTTGTGATACCATATCATTGCTCCTTTTGAAAGGGTTTCTCCAAACTTTTTCAGCAAAACCGACTCGATTTCGTCATCTTTTATGTCGTTTCCCCTTATGGCACACGTGTAGGAGGTCACGTGTTTATTTGGATCTATGGTTCCATTATACTTCGGAATTTCGGTCATACGAAACTTCTTCGGGATTGGCTTAGGTGTCGCGCGCTCGGGGGGAAAGGCTTTTGGACAAATTTCTTGGAATCCAAACCTTTCAATATCGGGTGTGCTCTTGGGATTTGATCAACTCTAGAGTTATAAGTCTCCACTTTTTGGTCGTTGGCTTCAATCTTCTTCTCCCCTCATTCCACCTGCTTTATCAATTACTCAAACATCTTTATTATTTCGGGGTTGGTCCAGGGATCAACTTCACCCAGCCTTTTCGTGATTTGTTCATTTCTTTGGGTGTTTTCCTAGGATGGTTGAGGCTCAACTCTGTTGGGGGCGCAACTTTGGTTCCGCAGCTGGGCTATCGCCGCCTGTTGAGCTTGTAACATTTCGAATATCACCCACACATTGATCTCGTCGCCTTCACCGTCGTGTGTACCTCGAGCTGTTGATCGGGCTCCTTCGCGAACACTATTCTCGGGGTCGGTCGGCAGGTTTGCATCGATGACCATATGTGAGTTGGCATCGATTGTGTCCACAACTGGGACTCTATTAGGGTCAACACGGGGCACCTCGTTTCTAGGTACTATATTGTTGTTTTCGCCATGGTGGCCAGACTCAGCATCAACGTTCCAGTGAGCAGATTGAGAGTTTGACATTCATAAGTTGACCTGAAATTAAAATCTCAAAGAACAAGTTTAAAATAGAATGTGTTATAAAAATTTATATCAAATTACCACTATTATCCTTAGCACACGATGGGCGCCAAACTGCTTACCCTTAAAAATTGATAACAATTGAATTTATAAGCGGTTTTAAGGATATGTGGACTAATTCAATTCAAGTGATTAATAGCGTTAGATGAGAAAATTAAAGATAGAATAAATGGCGAAACCAGTAGTAAGACCGAGTTCGGGCTCGATTGTGTTCCAAACAACTAGCAAGCCTTCGATTCGGAACAGACACTTATGAAGGGCTATGAACAAAACTAAGAACTTAGAATAATCTTTATAAGAAGAGGAAACAAATGTATATTGCCTTGATATGTGTGTTACACTGTGTCTAATGAATAATCAGCTTCCCATTTATATAGTAGGGGAGTTTTACCATAAGTACAATTCTAAAAAAGATTAAAAAATCTTCATTTTCGTTAATCACTGATCTACCGCTGATACGGGCCGGGATTCACACCGTGATATCCGGTTGGGCATGGATATCACGGCCCTTTGTCAATCGTGCGTGGTCGTTCGATAATGCTCTCCGAGTTCTTGGAACTCGAACCAGGCCCGGGGGGCGTGGTCACAATGGCTCCGAAGATAGGTGTTTTTCTCGGGCCTTGATGAGAGAGGCTGCTGGCTTCGATTTCGATTCCTTGTAGTCATGTCCTTGCTTCGTTTGACTCACCGAAAAATTGGGGTACTTACTAGCCTCGTTTTTACCCGTATACACATATTACAGTACTACTTTTTCTTTGGCACCTATTTTGTTGATTAATTTAAGGATTATGACATCAAAATTGGAAAATATCCTCTACAGGAATGTATAAAGGGGCCGTATCTAGAAGCCAGACCTGAAAAGCATATTTATACGTGTGACTTATTACTCAATCACATGGAATATTCTAGAATTTGAGATAATAAATTGCAGAAAGTTTAATTTTGACTGCAAATTTATAGTACTAAGTAGCAGGAAAGATATTCGAACTTAAGAATATAATTTACCTACTCCTATATCTTTTGGGTATATAACCTGAAAATTGATTAACATAAATATAACTCGGCCTGCGCGCAAAAGAAGATATGATATAGGATGAAAGGATTAATATATCTACTTACTAACAATTATTTGGAAATTATGTTACTGCTAACTTTTAATAGACATCAACATGACTTAAAATATTGAATTGGACACTTATTTAAACTCTTACTTGAATTAGGAGAACTAGAAATCTTTTAACTTGGAATTGGTCCAAAAACTAATTTCCGTGTCAAAGGTAAGGAAAATTTACAAAAATATGAATGACAATGACTTAATAAATAAAGAACTCTTTTAAAGCTGCATTGGACCCTCCATCATTAATAATTGAACCAATAAAATATTGAATTTAAAAAAAATATCTATGGACCATCCCTCAACTGGTCACTTTAGCTTAACATCAAAGTTCCTCTATGTACAAACGCCCCCTATATATACCACACATTAATTTTACATTTATCATTCCAACAATTCAGTTTACACATTTCTCTCTCAAAATCTATCATAGAATCTAGCCTTATCAAAGGACTCAGAAACCAAAAATATATAGAGAGATATATAAAGATGGAACAAAATTTGCCAGTGATAGCAAAGAAATTCTGGAACATAGTAAGAGTTGCATTTTTCATGTTGAGAAAAAGCATATCAAAGAGGAAACTAATGCTAGATCTCAACTTAATAATGAAGCGTGGCAAGATTGCTAGCAAAGCTGCTATCCAAAATCTCATGTTTCATCACACACACCAATGGTCCAACACTCAACGACGGTCACACGACAAAAATTTACCCTTTCCTCCACACAACAACGACTACGAGTTCAGTTGCAGTAACAGCCCAGTTCATTACCCTAATTTTCACTTACCTTTCAACTACTTCAACAAACGAAACAAGAACAACTGTAGCGACTATGGAAATTACATTTCAACTGAAGATAATGTTGTAGTAGTGAATGCAGCTGTAATGAAAGCATTGGAGATGATTCAGAGTGAAACGGCGTCGCCTGCTTTGCCTGGATTTGGAAGGACTCCTATGGTGAGGCAACTTAGGATCACTGATTCACCTTTTCCTCTTAGAGATGTAGAGGAAAATAGCCATGTGGATGAAGCAGCTGAGGCATTTATTTCAAAGTTCTACAGAAATTTGAGGCGTCAAGCTATAGCTTCGCCTTGTGCTTGATATATAATATTTGCAGCTTTTCGAGTTTCATGCATGCAACTGTGTTGCAGTTTTTTTTCTTTTTAAGTGCAGTAAATTCGAAATATATAAAGATTATGAAGATTGGGAACTGTGAATAATGTATGTGCTTAGCTTGTTTGCATGTACATATATATGATTTCCGTTCTCTCTTCAAGACTTTGTTTTTTCCTCTTTTGGTATTAGTCTGGAAATCTACAGAACAGAAAATAAGATTATATATAAATGACATGTAATCCCTTTTTTTGGCCTTGATGTGGTATTTTCTAAGGTTGTAAGTCATAAAATTTGAATCAACAAGTTTCATTTTGCTCTTTCTGATTCGATTATTGACTACCTGCTTCATTTGTAATTTCTTGGAAATAGGAGAAGAAAAAAGGTCGTAAAACAAAGTATGGAATACTTAATAGTACTATCTATTTATTCCGTTTATGTGACATTTTTTTGTATGTTTAAAAATAATGATAGTTTTTTTATATTTAAAAATAATTAATTTTAAATTTCTTATCTTATCTAAGTTAACTAATACTATGATTCTATGTATAGCTATAAAAATATCAGAGAACACCAAAAACATTTAAAGTTTTTCTTTCGTCTGTCCAGTCAAACAGATTTTCCCTTGAGTACAAATTACTAAATGATGAACCAAATTAAAATAGAAATCCTGTAGGCTGTAGCAAGCTAAGGTAGAAATTATGTATACTTCTTCCTTTGAGCCCAAGTGTATCCATACAATATTAGCATCCGCTGCTAATTAAACCTAGTGTCTACGTGGAGCTTTAATAAATTAACCTTCGTGATTTTGTGAATAATCTCATAATATTATTTACACAGTATCGCATGTCCATACCTCCTTAATTAATACGTGTTTATGGATAAACCCTAATATTATAGCGGCGGAGCTACCTTGGATAAAGGGTGTTAAATTGATATCATTTCGTCGAAGAAAACTTATACTACTCTGATAGCTAAGTAAAAAATTACATATATATATATATATATGTTTAATCTCTTACCTTTTATGAAAATCTAACTCTATAAATAGTATATTTCATTTAGAATTGCCTCGATTGACTAAACAATAATGCACTAATGGAGCAAAATATAACGCACATTGGTCGCAAAATCAACCGATGTGATTCCACTAATTTCAAAAGCAAATCTGTCTTCTCTTCTACGTTTATTTAATCATTCTCTTTCTTTTTTACCTTTTAATAAAGTTATTTATAGTGTTTCGTAAAGCAACCCCCACGCTTTTTCTGGTTGGTAATCGACTTGGAAACCTCCTTTCGCAGACACATACAAAATCATACTGATTTCAATAATGGCAATTGTCTTTTTCTTCAAATTTTGAGAAAATTATTTGAGGTGCTTAGGTACTATGTAGTTGAGTTAAACGACCTGATTATGAAATTCAACCACATCGTGGCAGAAGTAACGTAACTCGGTAAATTAGAGAAAGTGGTGACGTTAACATTTTTAATAAGCATTTCCAAAGAATTATTTAGTACATTTATTTTACAAAATATTTTGTGGTAATTGACAAAGTTAACTTCAAACAAAGTAATTACAGTTTACTTGATATAATCGGAGGACCATTTGTCCATCTTTTGATATGACCCCTTAATTTTAAGCTCACCAGTCAACAGCCACAAAGTTTGGTGTTTGTTAAATACTATAGTATACTTCTTGTAGGAACCTTACAAATTAAAATCACTTTTAAACATACAATACACTTAAAGAATTGTTCTTTATGATAAAAATTATGTACTTATTATTGATGATTTGCACTCTCATGTTTCCAAGTAACCTGGATGCTTGGGGTATTAAGATAATACAGGAAACTGCATATATAATAAGTAAGAGGAATACTAGTTGCTTGAAAAATAAAGTAGACGAACTTATGGTAACAAATTAAATTATACGAGTAATATAAAAATCTACATTAATTATCAATGAATATAATATTTGTTTTTGTTAATTTATTGTTGCTTTTGATTTATCACGGTTAATCTACTCGAGAATTATTGTGAGCTTCTGTCTTAACGTAACATTAGAGAGAGTGGGATTAAGATAGATTGTGATTTCTTGCAGACAAGATCTTTAGTTAGCTTTGACTAAGTTATTGCGGGCATGCGCAAGATATGTTATTTGTAAAGGTATATAATAGTAACTTTTTGATCATACATGTTATTTCTTCTGATCATACATGTAATGCACTGTGATTAATTATAAAAAGCCAAAACTTTAGGTAAAAGATTTGGTGAAAGTATGAAAACGACCAAAGTTGGTAACACTTGTCAACTTATGAACTTACTTTTCAAACGTTTAACATGCTTCCCCCACCATCTCGTTATGTTTGTGGCTTTAATTAATTAGTGAAACAGACTAATTGATGATCATTGGATTTTCTTCTTGATTATATTTATAAAATTCAAAACTCTCTGGTTCCTACGTCGAAATCAAAATTTAAATTTTTTTCAGTGTTGTTGTGGGTTGAGGCAATTATTGAAAATTGTGAGAAATTGGCATGACTCATGAGTTAAGGGTTTCATATATAACATTCAAGTAGTTGTCATATGTTCTAATAAAGAGTTCGTGCATGGGATAGAGAACTGGACAGTAGTCGATTCATTGAACTGTTATTTTACAGTTTAGAGAAGCAAGACTCAATTTTAACCTTTCCTTTTTTTCCCCTCTCTTCCAAACAAGAAGCACTTGAACTGATTTTTATTATAATACTACTAATTATATTCAAATGGATTTTATTATAATTAGGAATGAATCTGTTCAAAATAACGAATGATCGGTTAGAATTAACTAGGCATCACAAAAACTAAACAGTATGGGGCTTGTAATGCTTAACGTATTGACAAAACGAAAAAAAAAACTTAAAGTATTTCCTTAAGAGAAACTGTTAATGCTTTCTTAGCTTTTTAATTAATATGACAAATATTTTGGAGTTTTTTTTTTTTTTAAAGTTTGGAAGGAGTAATAATTATACATGGCATATGACTTAGAGGCGGAGTTAAAATTTAAATTTTATGGGTTTTGAATTCTTACTGAACTTATAGTCGTTTTTAGTTATAATTGGGTTCACAATTAAATATTTATACATATTTTATTAATTTTCTAATATAATTATAGAGTTTAACCAAAAATTAGTGGGTTCGTTCGAACCCGTAGTTTATCTAAGTGATTAAATTTCGGAAAACATTTATTTTAAACTTATTTTATATATATTTAATTAAGAATCACTCAAAAGAAATGAAGGTTAGATATAATTAAACACCATATAAAAATCGGATAAAGTCAGCAACATAAAAATAACACTTCAGTCATGAATATGATTTGAACAGAAGGGATCTAATCATTGGCCCCATTTTTACTGATTGACATGTAAAACTAACAAATAAGGGATGCGGTCAAATAGTTAGTACTCCTTGTCCTTAACCAAAGGTTTAGGGTTCAAGTTATATGTATAGAATCATCGTTTTTAGAAAGCGTTTTGCATTCAATGTGACACTTTGCGTCGATTCTAATTATTTGGGCCCAATACGGATATCGTCAACGAAAAAAAAAAGGACATGTAAAACTAAAGGTGCACTTAGAATTTTTAAAGCTAATATGAGGCCACGTCTAACCTGTCCATGGTTGTGTCCGAGTTCAATAATTTCATCTTATGTCCTTTTCATAAAGTAAAGTCTGCTACTATATTTATACGTTTCATTTACTCCTTCAAACTTTTTTACATTTCTTGTCTTTAATACATGGAATTTTCTGAAAATCATTCCAAAAAAAAAAGGCTTCAGCAAAATTCTAATGATTTCTTATTGGCTAAGTTATATATCCAGTATAGTCCACAAGGCAAATGATGTGCTCTATGCAAAATAATCACAAAGACATTCATGATATATATTATTATATAATTTATAATAAGTTATCCTTTTTTCTATTTTTTATTTTTTTAACAATAAGTTATCCTTTGTTCATATTTTTTTTAAAAAGAAAATGCATACCGTACACTTACTAGATTTTATGTCTCTTCGTACTCGTGCAAGGATCTTATTGAACTCAAAATAATTTAATATCATGTATATAATATTGTGCTTTTTATAATGGCAAAGTTGGTAATGCAGCTTTGGCACTAGGATTTTCTTTTTTCTTTTTTCTTTTTTCTTTTTTGTTAATTCATATTTTTATCATAAGGAATATATAATCCTAATGGTTTGGAGCTATGTGTTAATTATTGGCATAGCCAATCTCTTAGATGTACTAAATCTTATTGGAAGCTTTATTTCCCGATAAGATTTCTAATAAGCTAATTTTGCATGCAGCTCTTACAGGAATAATTAGAGGAATGAAGTACTACACCATTAATATCCAATCAAATTAATTGTAAATTAGTTTAGAAATTTCATGTTGTGCTTGAAACAATTCGATTAATCATTTCTAGACCATTCTTATAGGCATAAACACTTGCGCTTAACAACTTGTTTGGATGGTTGTTATCTATCGTCTCATAATATATCGTATAGTATTGTATCGTTTTAATGTATACAATATTTGGATAAATTATATTATTTGCCGTCATTTCATGATATCATGTATCAACATTAATATAAAGAATAAAATTATAATATTATAAAGAAAGAGTAAGTTATGAGGTAAAACTATTATATAAAAAGGTAGTTAAAGGATAAAATATGATTATTTAATAATACATAAGGGTAATATGAGAGAAAATATAAGATAACGACGCGATCACACCAAATCGGTCGTTCCATAAAGTGACATTTTTCGTCATTACGTAACAATGGATTTAAAATTTAAGTAACAATCAAAACAAACATTATATTTAAAATACCAATACGATACAATACAACATGTAACAACCATCCAAACAAGCTGTAATTAGTGGAGGTAAGCAGATGAATAAAATTAATTGTGGATTATGACAACTTTATTTATGATTATTTCCGCATGTAATTACAGGTGTGTTCATTGTCTTCGCCCAACAAAGTTTTTCTTGGGGAATTAGGTTTTGAATAAAAATATGTAAGACTTCTATCAAATCTGNAAAAGGTTTGTAGGCATTGGGTTTAGGACTTTAGGAAGATGTGGTACAGGGAAGTGCTCAATTATTGTACTCCTATAGATTTGCACTTAATAAAATATCTCTCTTAGTTTCTTCCGAAGCTGTTCCAACAAAAATACTTTCAAACATCCTCCTTTT